TTATTTTCGTCACTTTTTTTCCAAAAATAAATAAATAAATAATTACCGTTTTTTTGAAATATTTGTGAAATATTCTAATACAATATTATAATATTCTAGTAAAATATTAGAATATTTTACATATCTGACAAATCTACTAGAATACTAGAATATTCTAACATTCTAAAAATCACATTGGAATATTTACAGTGTAATATTCTATTAGAATATTTCAAAAAAAAAAACGGTAATTTTTATTTTATTTTATTTTTTAGATAAAGAAAATGACGAAAATAATAATTAAAAAAGAATTTTCAGATTTTTCCTTTTATTTTGTATTTTAAAATTATTTTTAGATTGCATCTCACGGTCTCACAAAATTAACATGATCTCACTATATATATATATATATATATATATATATATATATATATATATATATTTAACGGGATAATAACTTAAAAGGATAATATATTTTTCGATTTGTAAAAATTTGGCAATTAAGTTTTTTTTCGTTCACATTTACCATTTTAACTTGTTAAACTGTACACATTCAGTAAAAATGACCGGTTACTCTAGGTTAGCCAATAAAAATGACTTAATAGAGTAAGATATTTCTCACTTTGTACACATTTAGTCCTTAATATTTTTGTACAAATTTAGTCCTTAATATTTTTTTGTTGCAATATAAATCATTTTTGGTTTTATATTCATTCAGTACTTATGAATATTTTTTTTAGGATTTTCTCACGAAATCTTACGTGGGACATTCATTAATGAGGTGTTTGGGACTTTTGATGCTTGTGTCAATCGCGATCTCAACTACTTGGTTGCTTAGATCATGTTTTCTGAACGTCATAATTTCTTCATACGATCTCGGATTTTAACGATCTTTATATCAATGTGTTTGTATTTTAGTCTACTACAACTTTCGTTTAGATTACTCTCGTTAAAAAGTAATATATATTTACTTACGATCTTTATGTCCATACGTTTTTATGAATATATGTATGGATGTTTTTTTATAAAATCTTAACTAAAAATATATTACATTTTTAACGGGAGTAATCTTAATGAAAGTTGTAGTAGACTCAAAAAACGAACACGTACAAAGATCATTAAAATTTGATATCGTATGAAGAAGTTACGACGTTCAGAACACAAGACCTAAACCAAATCACAAGACCTACGCAACGAAGCAGTTGTGATCGTGGTGGACATAAGCATCAACAACCCCAAACACTTCATCAATAATTGTCTCACATAAGATGTCGTGAGATAAACCTAAAGAAATCATTCATAAGTATTAAATAAGTACAAAAACAAAAAAGGATATATTTTGAAACAAAAAAATATTAAAGACTAAATGTGTATAAAATGAGAAATATATTAACTTATTAAGTCATTTTTCCCGGCTAACCTAAAGGTAACCGGTCATAAGGACTGAATGTGTACAGTTTAACATGCTAAAAGGGAAAATATGGACGAAAAAAAACACAGTGACCAACTATCTACAAATTAAAAAAATATATTATCATTTTAAGTCATTATCCTTTTTTTAAATCTATTTTATAAGTTAGCTTATAATTTATTTGAAGGATTTAATTATATCATCACACAGTACATTGTAATAAGTTAAAAAATAAGCTAACTTAATTATATATGATATTGATATTGTTAATGATTTTGAAAGCTACTTGTTTAGCTTTAGAAGCCAAGTTCTTAGCTTTTTTATGGATTAAGAATAAAGACACATGAAGAAGGGAGTTGATATGAAATTTATGGGGTGATAACCCTTTGTACTTCACCTTGTAATCTCCTTTTTATCTAATAAAGTATTGTTGTTAAAAAAAATGATATTGACATTTTATTAAGCACCTAAAATCGTTTAACACTAAATTAAGTTATATGTAGAAGGTAAATGTGAACTTATTTAATAAGGCGCACCAATAATAGTGTCAGTGAATGACATGTCAAACAATTCTAAAGAAAATTCACTTGTTAACAAAAAAAAATGATTCTTTGATATCTTTTCTATTTTAGTTTTTACACTTTTACTACGTAATCGCAAATGTATACGGAATGGTTTTTGTGTTTTGTTTTTATAATATTTTAAGACTAGCATGCTCTAAAATATTCATCATACAAATAATAAATTACCTTTGATATTGTATTTAATAATTTGCGATAATGTTTTTATTACTAGTATGTGGTTTATTGGTAACTAATCACTTAACAATTTTAGTACTGAGGAATGGATTGTCCTGCATACAAATTTCACAAGCTTCAATTTGTTTGCCCATAAAGTGTTTCGTATTTTGGCACACTACAATTTTCTTAATACACAACAATTTATATTTTATAAAGGTGTACAATACAACTTTTAAAATATAAATTGTTGTATAGGAATAAAAATTTATGTAAGCCAATGTTATTTAGTTTTAGCTTCCTATTATTAATTTATTTTAAATTTATTTCCTCCTTTTGTTGATGACTTTTTGTTCAAAAAAGTATTCGACAACTACTCTCTGTCGCCCTCTCCTGCTTATGCTTTCCACTGAAAAACAGATAAAATGGAAGAAATGGCATCCTTGAGGAGTTATCAAAAGGTTGGTATTCATTCATGTTTGCTCTTCGTTTCTTAAACGACTGTAAAACACATTCTTGCAGTGGAATTTTTCGGTCCATTAAAAAAAAATAAGATCATTTGTTGCATTACGACTACAAGTTTAACTCAAATTCGAACCTTTTCATCTGGGACTCTTACCAAAATGCCGGTTGTTAGCATTTCTTGATCTTGAAAGCTAATTAATAGTTTAATTTTCTGTTTAATTAAATTAAGGCTTCTTTAAAGATTTTCTTCCAAAGTTCCTGGAAAGATGTGAGAATATGAGTTTTTTACTCAAATGGTGTTTTTTTAAAACATATTTACCATATAGGTGTTGTTTTGAAAATAATTACCATTTAGGTTGAAATCTATACCAAGTCAAAATTAAAAGCAAAATCAAAAGAAAATAAAATAACCCCAACCACGTCGTCGGCCATCTGCCTCGACTTCACGTCGTTTTCTCGATTCCGATCACAATCAGATGCCGGAATCTACATCCTTCCACAAGGTTTGATTTCTAACTTGATTACGTTTCGATTTTTCCATGATTTCAAGTTCGATTTTTGAACTTTAATCTTCGATTTCTGACTTAACTAGGTTTAGTGAATACAAATTGAATGGAGAATGGATAAGTTATCTCAGAATTGCTTCGAGAAATACTCTTTTCAGAGAGTGCATTTCATTAAGAGGATTTGGGTGATATGAACATTGAGATTATGAGAAAATACTCTTTACAAGACATACCTTGAATATTTGTATCCGTTTGCCAGGTAAGCAAGCATCTTTTGCTTATGAACATCACCATAAACAAGTTCTGTCATTATTAAAAATTACTTCTTGCTATTATTTACATTCATGGCTTATTACTCTTTTGTTTTATGGTTTCTATACACAGCATAGGAACAGAGCTTGGAGATTGTTCATATTAAGCAACGTTTTACTCCTCCCTTCTTGTATTAAATCAAAACTTGATGCTAACATAACTACTATAGCCATTCCATTACATATTCCTGGCTATTCACCAAAGATGAAAGGCAAGGCATCCAAACCAGTAGCTACATCCATGGCTAATGTAAACAAAGCAACAATAGTCACTGAAACTATGTTGTTTCCACTTTTTTTCTATCATTTTCGTTGTTAATGGTGTTAAACACTCCACATAAATTGTTTCCATCTATAACACTTCCTATGGTGTCCTTTAATGGAGCAGTAATTAGCCTCTGTTTGGTAGTCTTGTTTTCTGAATCTGATGTAGTAGAAGTATATAACACTAGTGAAAAGATAAAGAATATCAAGAGTTGTTTACGTCCCAAACCTGTTGTACTAGTGTTGTTCCTATCAACAGATCAAAAGCATTAATTTGAATTGAAATTTTATCATTTCTTAATGAAATGAGACATATATGATGTTTGTAAACAAATTTGATAGACATTAACAGCAAAACAAGTTATAAACAACTAATATATATATATATATATATATATATATATATATATATATATATATATATATATATATATATATATATACAACAGTAGAAATAGAATAAAAGCTAAAAATTTTAGAATTTTTTTTAAATACACCTATTTGGTAAATATTTCTTAAACTACACCTATTTGGTAAATAAAATTTTAAAAAACACTTGTTTGGTCAAAAACTGGAGAACCATATGTAAAACGAGGAAATTTTTGTCGTGGGTCGTTGATAATGTAATAATGTTCCCAAATTATCATCTTGCTAAGCATTGTTTTGAATTTCAGATTACACTATGGTTTTTCAGTTTCTTTTCTGGCTTTTACTCCATGTGATCTTGAGTTTTGTTTTGTTTGTGTGGAATAAACACGCATTTTTTTTTTGTTAATGCTTGTGGTAAACTATTGATAATCAATCAATCTCCTGATATTTTGTAATCGTCATAATTTCTATCTACTATTATTGATTATATAATCAAACATCAATTCTTTTTGGAAAAGGTTTATATTGATATGGAGACAGCATTTTTATCACCTTCCGTTGTAATTCACTGAAAATTTAATAATCAAATGTCATTTTTGATTAATTGCTTTAATCAATTAATTCTTTTGAACTTTTGCAAATTTTAGAGCATTGATGAGCTTAAGTTCAAGATTCATCACACATGAACTGGAAACAGTAAAAGCAAAAGCAAATGAAGAAATGAATATAAATACCGACTCCTTGAAACAATTGATAGAGCTCCTAAAACTTGTTCTCCATGAAAGGGATGAAGCAAGAGATCAAATTCAGAAACTACTCATCAAGATCATGCCATCCACAAAAAATACCATGATCTCCGATTATTTCATGATCGATCAAGTTCATCAACATTATCAGAACAGTTTAATGAAACCCGCAAAACCAAACTCAAGTATTGCTGAATCCAACAGTCTTTCTGATGCATACAATCACAGCTCATCACCTGTGGATTCAATTTTCGATCCAGTTTCCTCCCATGAGTTCTCTAACATCAACACAAACACTTCCTTCATACTATCGACATGAACTGACGTTGTCTAACGGGTTTCAAGCATTGAGAAGTGTTGCAGAAATCGATCATGCTACCTTGATGATGAACAGTATGATCAAACGAAAGGCGTTGCCACAAAAAGGGAACTTATTACTAGCTGTTCTGGAAGCTGGTCCGCTTTTGCAAACACTGCTTTTAGCAAACCCGCTTCCGGTTGCCAGAACCTTTCACCGCTGCAGTCATTGATCAGTATCCCACCTGTCGCTTTGTCTGAGTTTTTCTCAGATGACAGTTGGAGGTGGTGGTGGTGAATTGGTGATGGTGGAAGAATTTTTTGTTTTGATCAAAGGAAGGATGCTGCAAGCAGCTGGTTGTCCCATGGCAAGTATCTTTAGTTTGGTTGAAAGAAGCAAAGGTTCCGATAAACTCATGAAAAGATACCTTTTAATCTTCCTCTTTTTTTTTTTTTTTTTTTTTTTTTTTCCTTTTGGTCTTCTTTTCGTAAAGGAGTTTGATAGGTTTTGACAGATGGTTGGTGTACTGTATACATGCATGATGATATGCTAGTTTAGGCTTTGAATTGAATAACTGCAAAGTGATTTATACTTTTATATGATTAACTTTTGGCATATAAAGAGTTTTATGTTTCCCTCCTATGAAAATTACAATCATCGGACACATGATATTAAATAACAAATATGTTAGCCTTTTACACAGGGATGCAGAGATGATAGTGACAAAACTTGAGACAAACACAAGAAACAAAACAGTGGGGCAAAAGTTGCACACTTCTTATTCACTTTTGGAGGTTCAGATGAAAATGACAATATCGTACACTTGCCCATTTAAGCTAAAGAAAAAGCAAGAAAACAGGAAACAAACTACACTAACTCCTCTAGACTCGGTCCAATGGCCAACATGGCACATGACTTATTCAAAACTTATTAAATAAAAGAAACACGTTGAAAAAAACTGGATTACATCAACATTCTCCTCCTAATCCAGACTTTGTTACCTTCTTTATCTCTCCATTCTCTACACATTCCCTAATAAAGTGGAAACGTGTATCTATATGTTTGCTACGCCCATGAAACACGGGGTTGCGCATCAAGTCAAGAGCTGCCTTGTTATCAATGAATAGTGTTGCGGGTGCTACCTTTTGATTTGTTATTTCTGAAAGTAGACGACGTAGCCAGATCGCCTGACAGGGTTGCCATGGTTGTTGCCATGAATTCTGCTTCACACGAGGACAATGCTACACTACGTTGCTTCTGAGACATCCAAGTGACCAAATTTCCATTTATATAGACGGCTACTCCACCAATGCTCCTCCTATCATTTATATCCATTGCCATATCACTGTCAGAGTAACCAGTGATTGTGACTTCATTCCTTCCTCTAGAGTAGACCAAACCATAGTCCATTGTACCCTTCACATATCTCAAAATGCCTTTGACAGCCTGAAGATTTTTTGTAGTTGGTTTTTCCATAAAGCGACTAACTACACCGACTGCAAAAGACAAGTCGGGACGAGTATGTGTTAGGTACCTCAATGCTCCAACAATGCTTTTGTATTCGGTAGGATTTACCAATTCTCCATTCTCATATTTGGTGAGCTGAAATTTGTGATCAATAGGACTTTTTGTGTCATTACAGTCTAACATGTTAGTTTTGGCGAGGATGTTTTTAGCATATGCTTCCTGCTTCAGAGAGATTCCATCTTCACTTTGAGTTACTTCAATTCCCAAGTAGTAAGTCAAGAGCCCTAAGTCACTCATTTCAAATTTTCTGTTCATCTGATTTTTGAAGTCTTGTACTTCTTCTGAGCAGTTTCCAGTCACCAGTAGATCATCCACATATACTCCGATAATTAAAGTCTTCCCTGTTTTCTTTCGTCTGTACACCGAGTATTCTTGAGCACACCTATTAAAACCCAAGCTTTTCAAGTATTTGTCTAAACAAGCATTCCACGCCCTAGGTGCTTGTTTAAGCCCGTACAAAGCCTTCGATAACTTATACACCTTTTCTGTCTCCCCACGTTTCTTGAACCCTTCAGGCTGAGTAACGTATACTTCTTCTTCTAGAGTGCCATTCAAGAAAGCCGACTTCACATCGAGATGGTGTACATACCACCCATTTATACTTGCGAGACTAATGATCAGACCTACCGTTTCAATTCTTGCAACCGGAGCAAACACTTCATCATAATCTATTCCGTGCTTCTGAACAAACCCACGTGCAACCAATCTCGCCTTGTGCTTGATTATCTTCCCATTTGGATCCTTCTTTACTCTGAAAACCCATTTCAATCCAATTGGTTTTCTGTCTTTTGGTAAATCCACCAGACTCCAGGTCTTATTTCGTTCAATCGACACTAGTTTAGATTTTATTGCCTCCATCTATTTGCTTTTCGTACTTGCTGTTGGTGATTTGTTATCATCAATATTATTTAAGTGTAATGGGATTACTTTGTTGACCAAAGGTGATCTTGATAAATATTAAACAAGTAAGGAAGGTGTGGAGTACACACTTGTTTAAGTTTGATCAAGTTTTCAAAGTACACTGTCATTTAGGGGCGAAGCCCTTAAACGAACGGGGGTCCGGGGGCAGCGCCCCTGGGAGCAGGGTCCAAGGGGCGGCAACCCCTGGCTGGGATAATTGACCATTGTTTGACCCTTATCCAAACTTCTGTTTTATTTCGGTTTTTATAGTTTATGACAGTTTGAAACTGTCATATGACAGTTTTTCATACAAAGATCATAAATTCGGTTTTGGTCTCACTTTTTCTGGTACAGACGAAACTATCATCAAAACATTCTAAAGTCTTGTCTCTCTGAGTCTTATCCGATTAAAGAATATTGGGAGTACCACCCAAATGCTTTAATCTGAAAGTGTTTTACACAATTCTTAGAATTCCAAGCCTTACTATACCCCAATTTCTAACAAAGATTAAAGCATTTCTGTGATCATGACAAGTGGTGATTCTGTGAAGGAAATGACTAGTAAGTTTGAAAAACTAAACAAGTTTGAAGGGCAAGATTTTCGTAGATGGCAGAAGAAGATGAAGTTTCTCCTTACCACTCTGAAAGTGGTGTATGTTCTGAGTACACCCATGCCAGTCTTACCAGAATCTGTTGAAGATGAACCTTTGGAGGCAACAAGAAGAAGAACAAAGTGGGAAAATGATGATTACATATGTCGTGGTCATATTCTCAATGATATGTCTGACTCTCTTTTTGATATCTATCAAAATTTCGAATCTGCAAAAGAACTATGGGATTCTCTTGAATCCAAGTATATGGCTGAAGATGCTTCTAGCAAGAAGTTTCTTGTCAGTAACTTTATGGGTTACAAGATGATTGACTCCATGCCTGTTATGGAACAATACCATGAAATGTTAAGGATCCGGGGACAGTTTGCTCAACACAATCTGAAAATGGATGAAGCCATTGCTGTAGCTGTGATCATTGACAAACTGCCACCTTCCTGTAAGGATTTTAAACACAATCTGAAACATAATAAAGAGGAATTGACTTTGACTCAACTTGGAAGCCATTTACGGATTGAAGAGTCCTTAAGGACTCAAGAACTTGATAACAATCCCAAAGGCAATAACCAAGTTGGTTCCTCTTCTGTGAACATGGTGGATGGAGAAGGATCAAAGAATCAAAAGAAGTCTAATGGAAAAAGGAAGTTTAAAGGAAAGGATGACAAGTCTTCCAACAAGAAGGCTAAAGTGGTGTGTTGGAATTGTAACAAACCGGGTCACTTCAAGAAAGATTGTCGTTTGCGTAAAGTGAACAAGGATGGTGCAGGACCAAGTGGATCCAAGGATCCAGAAAAGCAACAAGGTCTGAATTCTGTTTTCATGCAGAATTTTAACTATATTCAGAATTATATTTCTGTGATTTCTGAAGAATTTTATGTGCAGGATGATAATGTTGCATGGTGGGTTGATTCGGGAGCAACAAGTCATGTTTGCAAAGATCTATATTGGTTCAAGGACTTTCAACCAAATGATGATGGATCTGTTGTGAAAATGGGAAATGTTGCAACTGAACCAATCAAGGGCATAGGATCTGTTTTACTTACTTTTACTTCTGGGAAATGTTTGTGTTTGAACAATGTTTTATATGTTCCAGGGATTCGTAAGAATCTCGTGTCTGAAATTGTATTAAATAATTGTGGTTACAAACAAGTATTAGAAAGTGACAAGTATATCTTGTCAAGACATGGTTCTTTTATGGGATTCGGATATGTATGTAATGGAATGATTAGGCTTAATATTAATTATCCTTCTAGTAATAATTCTATTTGCATGGCTTCTAGTAGTACTAGCAATAATTTTCATAAATCTGAATTATGGCATGCTAGACTAGGACACATTTATTACAAGAGATTAAAAGACATGTCTAAAATGAGTTTAATTCCTGCTTTTGATATGCAAAATAATGAAAAATGTAAAACATGCATGCTAACTAAAATCACTAGACAACCTTTCAAAGATGTTGTTAGGGAAAGCAAGGTGTTGGATCTTATACATAGTGATTTATGTGATTTCCATGCAACACCTTCCCTTGGAAACAAGAAGTATGTTGTTACTTTTATTGATGATGCATCTAGATATTTTTATATCTATTTGCTACATTCTAAGGATGAAGCACTTGATAAATTTAAAATTTATAAACAACAAGTTGAGCTTCATAAAAATGAATTAATAAAAGTCTTGCGTACTGATAGAGGTGGTGAGTATTATGATCCAGTTTATTTTGAATCAACTGGAATAATACATCAAACCACAGCTCCTTATACACCACAACAAAATGGTGTAGCTGAAAGGAAGAATAGGACTTTGAAAGAAATGGTTAATTCCATGTTGTCCTATTCTGGATTAAGTGAAGGGTTTTAGGGTGAGGCAATGTTAACTGCATGTTACATCTTGAATAGAACTCCAAATAAAAGGAGTAAGAATACTCCTTATGAACTTTGGTAAGGTACCAAATTTGAGTTATCTCAAAGTTTGGGGTTGTAGAGCAGTTGTAAGGCTCACTGAACCCAAAAGGAAAACGTTGGGTGAGAGAGGTATAGATTGTATCTTTATTGGATATGTTGAGCATTCCAAAGCATATAGATTCTATGTTTTAGAATCTAATGACTCTGTGTCAGTAAACACAGTGATAGAGTCAAGAGATGCTATTTTTGATGAAGAAAGATTTACATCTATACCTAGACCAAGGGACATGATT